TTGTAATCAAAGAAAACACGATAATTTCAAGAGAAACATCAAAAGTGCTTTATTCAAAGTAATGTTCATTGCTAGCTACACATTTCCCCCATCTTTCAGGTAATTGTGGATACCACCCCAATAGAACTTTTCTTGTTTTGAGGCAAACCATTCAGAGACCCAATTTTTGCACTTCTTCGTACGTTTTGAAGTGCTGCTTAGAAAGTGCATGTGCCATTGATAAGAACAAGTGGTAATCTGAAGGAGCAAGGTCTGGTGAATTCAGCGGGTGGGTTAGTACTTCCAGGCAAGATCTTTTAACATGTCTTTAACTGGTTTTGAAGTGTGTGTGATGGTGCGTCATCATGAAGCAAAATTACTTTGCCCTGTCTTCTGGCACATTCTGGTTGTTTCACAATCAAAGCGTGGTTCAAATTGATTATTTGTTGGTAGCAATCAGTATTAACAGTTTCACCTGGTTTTAGATTTAGAAGCTCATAATACACCACACCTTCCTGATCCCACCAAACACAGCACTGTCTTCTTTCCGAAGTGATTTGGCCTTGCAGTTGATGTTGATGGTTGACCTGGATCAACCCATGATTTTGTGTGTTTGGGATTCTCAAAATAAATCCACTTTTTATCACCAGTCACAATTCAATGAAAAAAAAGACTTTCTTTCGTGCCGTTGAAGCAACATTTTACTGATGACTTTTCAGTTTTCCATTTGTCTTTCGTTCAGTTGATGTGGCACCCATTTTCCTTTCTTTAAAATCTTTCCCATTGCTTATAAATGATCGGAAATTGTTTACTGAGCAGCGTTTAATCTTCAAGTTGTTTCTGAGTTTGACATGCATTTTCATCCAATAATGCTTGTAATTTGTTGGTCTTCAAACTTTTTCGGTTCACCTGGACGTTGTCTTTCACATCGAAATCATCACTTTTAAAGCGTTTAAACCAGCGTTCACAAGTATCTTGAGATGGAGCATGTTCACCATAAGCTTCCCGAAGTATACGATAACTTTTCACAATAAAGTAATGAATTAAAACTTCCCGCAAATGCTCTTGTTTTTGTCACGAAATTCGACATTTTTAAGTGTAAAAATAAGATGTTAACACCTTCAGCAAATTTGACATAGGAAGTTTTAAAGCTTGCTGTCAATACAACAAAATAGCATACATATGTGTAACTCCATATCAACATATGTGTAACTCCATCTATTGAAAAAAATCCACATTATTAACTAGCACACCTAGTATATAATGTTGAATCCACCTTAAACTAGTAGCTTAATATGTTGACTGAGTTACCCAAAATAAAAATTTAACCTTGGGATTCATTGCCTCAAAACTACATTTTCCATCCATTTCAAATTCTTTGAGCTTCCACTGAAACAAAGTACTATCTTGTACTTTTGGGTCCTGTTGTTTATCCTCAATTTGAATATTAGATTTGCCAGCCTTAAATGTGACAGATTTATGAGAATAAGAGCTAGGGCTCTCATATGAAATTGTTTACATAAGATTGTGATGTAAATTTCCACAGATCTCAAAGGAACATTTTCAAGTAAATTTTCCATTAGGATCATATGCTCATCATTGAACTCGTATTCTTTTCATGTTCAGGGTCATACAGGATAAAATTAATTATGATAACAAGAAGTAACACAGAAAAAAATGTTTATGTTGGTTTAAAATTTTCATCTTGATGGGGCATTTTAGCTGTTAACGGTCACTGAGGTTTAGGATATGGTTAGTTTTTTATAGCATAAACAGAAGTATATTAAAATGAAAGGTTCTGGCTTATTCAGTTTGAATATTGCTATTTGTTGCATAAGCATTTCCAGCAGCAATTTTACCTGAACTTAATGTGTCCCTGCAGTCAAATGCAAGGATGATCTTTGCCTCTTGAGATTATATGTTGGCAGGCTTTGTGCTGCCTTGTGACCACATTTCCTACCTGGGCCCCAGGGTTGTTTTATCAACTGGAGTTTATTTTTTATTTTTTTTTTAGAATTTTACTAACTCATTCTTTTTTTCTTTTTTTTTAAAATATATTTTATTGATTTTTCACAGAGAGGAAAGGAAAGGGATAGAGAGGTAGAAACATCGATGAGAGAGAAACATCGATCAGCTGCCTCCTGCACACCCCCAACTGGGGATGTGACTGCAACCAAGGTACATGCCCTTGACCGGAATCGAACCTGGGACCTTTCAGTCCGCAGGCCGACGCTCTATCCACTGAGCCAAACCGGTTAGGGCTGAACTGGAATGTAAAAAGCAAATTATACTCTCCCTGAATGTAAAAACTCTGAAATGCAGGGCGGCGGGAAGCAGGGGGGTGCAGGGGGGGGGGGGGGATGTGTAGTAAACGGGACAACTAAGTTTAAGGTTTAACAAATGCAATAAATCTTCTTGGACAGAATGGCTATTTTGGCAGATTGCATATAACCAGTGACAGTTACAATTCAGTGTGTGGGGTAAATCTGGAAAATGAATATTGGACTTTACCATATGCAGGTCTAGAGGCTACTGTACTTACTTATTCTAATTTTTTTACTGTCCTTGTGTAAGACCTCCAAAACTACCTTAGTTACCTTTCAGAAAGTCAGGGAAAGCTGTTGTGCGTTTATTTTTATTGTTCAGTTGCTTTGATACTGATGTGCAGTCCAGTATTTTGAACACAGTTCTGGGCACTGTTTATTCTTTTCCTTCTTGTGTAATTCAAATCTTATATTTATTAGCAGATGTTTTTATTTACCCTAGGATAAGTAAACTACCTTGCTTATTTTAACAGATTTTTATATATTTGTGCTGTATACAGGCTATTTCCTTTAAAAATTGCGTTTAGAGACATTTATATCTATGTAACATGATTGCAGAGGTTGCTTATTTTAGCTGCTTTTTTTCTCCTCAATTAGTTGGTGACAAAGTTCCTGCTGATATAAGGTTAACTTCCATCAAATCTACTACTCTAAGAGTTGATCAGTCGATTCTCACAGGTAAGTGTCATGTATTCGAAGGCCATTGAATTTCTGATGCCTCTCAGATACCATGCTAATAGCATCAACTCTTGCCCCACTCTTACTTTATGATATCCTATCTTAATTCTCATTAAGCTATTTATTTCTTAAAGCTTTATCTGTTAGACTTGTTGCCAATATATGGGGCTTAAAGGTATGATTTAAAAAAAACAAAACTAACTTGGCTTTCATCTTATAAGGCCTCTATCTTTTAATTTTATAAAAAATTAGTTTTCACCAAAAATCACCATAATGTTTTTATTGTTTTTAAAAGGTTACAAATTCTCTCATTAACAGAGGTTAATCTTACAGTAGAAGTGTTGTCTGTTTTGTGGAAAGTGGTTCAATTACTTTTATCACCTGAGGATATTTTTTCCATTGATTTTTAGGGAGAGTGGGGGAGAGAAGGAAAGAGAGAGAAACATCGATGTAAGAGAAACACATCGATTGGTTGCCTCCTGCATGAGCCTCAACCCAGGCCAGGGAGGAGCCTGCAACCAAGGTACATGCCCTTGATTGGAATTGAACCCGAGACCCTTTGGTCCGCAGGCCGACGCTTTATCCATTGAGCCAAATTACCTAGGGCTCAATTATTTATTTAGTCTTCTTTTTCCAGGCTGGTAAAAAGGGCTCTAGAACTATAATTTTTTTTTCATTCTATGAATGCTAATCTAGCATCTAACATACTTTACAATAATCAAATGTACAATTAACAGAAGTTAGCACCCCCAAAATAGTGACTGTTTTACAGCCTAGTTTGCACACTTAGCTATGGGATTGTTTTGAACACTTTCCCATTTTTGTTTGCTAAAGACACAGAGGAGGGTGGAGGGCATATTAACCGGAAGTGAGGTGGTTAGAAGATTAACTTAAACACAATGCTAACCTGAATTAAATAGAGAATAAATATAAAATCCAAAGATTATCAAGATTTATCTGATGATCGGTTTTGAAAAGCAACTGATGTCATAGAAGTGGTGATGTAAGTAAACTGGGTTCTGTATTTTTTGTTTCTTTATGAATAGCTTAACTACTAAAACTTCTATTAGCAGCAACAAGCTGGAAGCTGATTAAGCCATAAAATGTTGGGAAATTAGGTTGTATGTATGAAGTTCTCATAGTGTGCCTACAGAAATAATTACCATTTTAAAACATCATACTTTCTTGAATGTAATTTTTTGTTGAATACTTACACTATAGTTTTAGGCTAGGTTAGGAATCAGATTTTTTTTAAAATCAAATATTGATATGAAGTTTAATACCTGACATTTGAATGAACAATTGGAGATATATTTCACTCAAATGGAACCTGATTATATATAAGTACTATTAAGTAAAGCTGAAACCAAATTCAGCAAGACATTTGTGCTTTTTTTTTTTTTATCCTCACCCCAGGATATTTTTCCCATTGATTTTTAGAGAGAGTGGAAAGGAGGGCGGGACGGGGAGAGAGACACATCTACTGGTTGCCTCCTGCACATGCCCCAACCCCATCGGGGATTGAACCTACAATCCAAGTACATGTCCCCTACCGGGAATTGAACCCATGACCCTTTGGTGTGTGGGCTGATACTCTAACCACTGAGCACACTGCCGAGGGCTACCTTGTGCTTTTTTATTGCAACTGCTGATTGCTATTTTTCAGCTTTATTTTATTGAAATACAACACTCTGGTTTAGTACATGCAAATATTTCTTAAAAAGTGTTTTCCCTTCTCATCTCTGACATTACTGAACAACAATAGGTTTCCCAGTGGATGATCCTCATTATTCATAATGTATCTACAGTTCGTTCAATCCACTAAAAGTAAATATACTTTCACCTTTAAAAAAAAAAAAAAAAAGGTATTGGAGTGTGTGTATATAGTTACTCCAGAAAATAAAGGTCATTGGCTGGGATTTTACTTCAAAATTCACTTCCTTTATTTTGAAATGATACATATTTTAATCCTGACATTGCTCTGAAATTAATTTCTATTACTAAGTTTTACTAGTTTACCTCGTTTGAATGAATTGGGCCTTTTATCCCTTTTCTTGAGAGAGGCAGTGGCAGGAGTGGGTGAGGGTTCCCAGGTTCCAGGCGTGGATTGTACAGATCTAACCATCCCTCTGTGTCTCCACATGCTTAGGTGAATCTGTCTCTGTCATCAAGCACACTGACCCCGTCCCTGACCCACGGGCTGTCAACCAAGATAAGAAGAACATGCTCTTTTCTGTAAGTACTTTATCAATTTTTTCATTCGTTTCTTTGAGTCTTTTTTTGTTTATTTTTAAGACATTCTCAGAGTTTTAAGTCTGCTGATGTTATTTTTTTCCCACTGCCTACCTTCAGTGGTCATATTTTAGAAATTGTTGGCTATTATTCCAAAGCATAATCACAGTCTTTGTGGTCAATCTCAGCTGTCAGAAAAAAATCAAGAATATGTAATGGTGGGATATGTGACCTAGCTGTCTTGTTTTAATTGGCAAGACTTTTTTCAATTCTCACCTGAGAATATGTTTTTCATTTATTCTAGAGAGAGAGTAAGGGAGGGAGAGAGACATCTATTGGTTACTTCCCATATGCACCCTGACCAGGGTTTGAACCCACAACCTGGTTATGTGCCCAGACCAGGAATTGAACCTGCCACCCTTCGGTGCACGGGATGACACTCACCAACTGAGCCACACCAGCCGGAACTAAACTAGCAAGTTTTTGAGAATTAAAATTAAAAGATCAGGTCAGATATCTTTAAACTCTTTATCTTTAAACCTAGTAGAAAAGTAGATTTATTTGGAAAAGACAATAAAAAGGATGTTTTTAAAGATTATGTAAATGGTATCGGTATGAATTCACAATAAAAAGGTGTGTGTTTAGAGAGAAACAAATGTGGCAACCATTAATAATGAGTGAGTCTGGGTGAAAAGTCAAATGGCTGTTCATTGTATTATTTCAGTTTTTCTGCTAAATATTTTCAAAATAACCCTAGTCAGGTTGGCTTAGTGGATAGAGCATTGGCCCTCGGACTGAAGGGTCCTAGGTTCAATTCCAGTTAGGGGCATGTACCTTGGTTGTAGGCTCTAACCCAGCCGTGGGCAAACTACGGCCCGTTTGAAATGAATAAAAAAAGACCGTACCCTTTTATGTAATGATGTTTACTTTGAATTTATATTAGTTCACACAAACACTCTATCCATGCTTTTGTTCCGGCCCTCCGGTCCAGTTTAAGAACCCATTGTGGCCCTCGAGTCAAAAAGTTTGCCCACCCCTGCTCTAACCCAGCCCTGGTCGGGATGTGAGGGAAGCAGCCAATCACTGTGCCTCTCTCACATCGATGTTTCTCTCACACTGTCTCCCCCGCCCTTCACTCTTTCTTAAAAAGAAAAAAATATTTTTTTTTTCCCCAAAATAAAAAGTTGGGAAATTTATAGAGTTTGTTTGGAATTTGAAATACTGTTTCAAGTGGTAGGCTTTTGTGTGTTCGTATGGGAGCTTAAACACCCAAAGTAAGTAAAGTACTCTTGAGTTACAATGAAAATAATGGAGCCGTATCATTCCAACACTAGGAATTTAGTTGGGTGGGGAGACAGCTCTCATACTTGAGTTCACTGATTTTGGAATGCCAGTGTGGAGTGGAAGTTGTCAAGGTAGGCATGGTAATGGTTGCCCTTATAATTGGTGGTGAAGGTAGGGGTGGTTGAGTTGGAGCCAGAGGTGGAGAATGCTTAGGGTTTAGAACTATATGGAGTTTGAAATAATTGAGAACTCAGAGGGGTTAGAGCCCTGTTTCAGCCCAAAGCTAGTCTGCAAGCCAGGTTCAGTGTTGTGAATAGAGATCCAGGTGGGTCAGTGTGGAGCTGCTCTGGGGAGAAGGGACCACATGAAATGAGCATCAGGGAGAAATGTATCACTGCTGCGTGAGTTACTGCTCATTGTCAGAGTTGGATGGCTGGTTCTCTAGTCAAGATCCACATGAATCTGAGTTTACTAGTCAGCATTTAAGTTGGGAATGTTGTTAATGTTGTAACCCAATTCTTCTCTGTTTCTGTCCTAGGGTACAAACATTGCTGCTGGCAAAGCCATGGGAGTGGTGGTGGCAACTGGAGTTTTCACTGAAATTGGCAAGATCCGGGATGAAATGGTGGCAACAGAACAGGAGAGAACACCCCTCCAGCAAAAACTAGATGAGTTTGGGGAACAGCTTTCCAAAGTCATCTCCCTTATTTGCATCGCAGTTTGGATGATAAACATTGGGCACTTCAATGACCCAGTTCACGGAGGCTCCTGGATCAGAGGTGCTATTTACTACTTTAAAATCGCAGTGGCCCTGGCTGTAGCAGCCATTCCTGAAGGCTTGCCTGCTGTCATCACCACCTGCCTGGCCCTCGGAACTCGCAGAATGGCAAAGAAAAATGCCATTGTTCGAAGCCTCCCTTCCGTGGAAACCCTTGGCTGTACTTCTGTGATCTGCTCAGACAAGACTGGTACACTTACAACAAACCAGATGTCAGTCTGCAGGGTAAGTGGGAGTAATTTAAGAACCATTCCTGTTAATTGTTTATTCATCCTAAGAATATGTCCCCCGTGCCATCAAATCTTTATTTATATCTTGATACCTTTTTTATGTGCTTTAAACAGATTGGGTTATGTGAGCCCAAGGTGATTTCTAATACTTAAGAGGAAATTAATCATTTAATTTCTAAAACTATTTCATAAAATAAAGGATATATCTGTATGGTTGATGTACTTGTATTGAAAAATAACTATAGACAGTCTAAATGTCAATTTATTTCCCTGCTCCTCTGTCCTTAAGTATATGTATGTTAACAGATAAGCTTCAAAGGAAGAACATTCTATAAAGTAGCTAGTTACCTACCTGCTTAAAATTCTTTTTAAAAAAAAATATTGATTGCAGAGAGGAAGAGAGAAGGAGAGATAGAAACATCAATGATGAGAATCATTGATTGGCTGCCTCCTGCACACACACACACACACACACACACACACACACACACACACACCCCACTGGGGATCGAGCTGCAACCCAGGCATGTGCCCTTGGCCGGAATCAAACCCCGGACCCTCTATCCATTGAGCCAAGCCGGTTAGGGCTACCTACTTAAAATTCTAATTGATATTTCCATCACACATTGAATGAGACAGGCTTTCTTCTTGAAAAGTAAATAATTGCCTTTCATTGACTTTGTTCTCTTTTATCCTTCCTTTTTTAGGTTGTCTCACCATCACTTGGGTAAAAAAAATTGTTCAAACCTGCTCTTAGGAAAATAAGAACTAAAGAAATATAATGATATGGCTGAATGAAATTCTTTCATATAATTCAGTCCTCATAAATTTTATGTAAACAATTTTGTAGAAGTGAAAGTATAATTTTCCAAAAGACAAATATTTAGTGGACACATGTCAAAGATTCTGTCTGGCTTGTTAATTAATGAAGGAATCAGTAAGATGGCCAAACGATTTACCAAGAGCATTTGAGGAAGTGCTCAAGATTAGACTAGAATTGCTATGTTGGATTATAAAAACTGGTTTTCTATGGGGCAATAAAACTATTAGGTTATATTTTCTTCAGGTCACAAATCCACAACTTTACATAATATGAGGCCTTAATTAATAAATAGCTTAGTGAAACACTTAATTTTTCTAAAACAAGGAATCTTTGAGTGGGCCCATTAGGTAATGCCTCTGAGTGACACTGAAAGGAAGGACATGTGGTCGTCCTCTTGGTCTTATGTCCAGGTTTTGAAAAACGTTTATCATTGGAAATTGTTTTTGTTTATCTTGCCAAATTTATTTTATTTTTTTTAATATTTTTATTGATTTCAGAGACGGGGAGAGAGCGAGAGAAACATCCATGAGAGAGAGTCATGGTCGGGCTGCCTTCTGCACGCCCCCTACTGGGCACCGAGCCTGCTCCAAATTTAAATTGATGATGATTTTTAGATACAGATATCCAAACCCAGATTTAGAATGAATGGGCAGGTGTTTAAAACAGATTGAGATGTTCTGTCTCTCAAGTGGTAAGCTTCCTAGTTTGGGGTTCCCCTAGTAGATGCAGAGTTTGAGCTACCTAAGTTCTCGATCCTTGGAACCAGAAAAGTTTGGACAAATAGGCTAAAAGCAAGTTGGCTAAAAGCTGATTATTTGGGGGAGAGAAAAGAAATTTCATGTACCTGTTTAGTATTCCCCCCAGCAAACTTTAAACTTAGCCTGAAAGCTTTAGATTCCTCAGAATAGACCTTTCTATCCATAAAAATAAGCAATGTGCAATTGTAGCCTTTAAATTTTTTTGGTTTTAAAGTTTTGGCAGCAAATCAGATTTCAAACTAAGTATAAAATAGAGTCCATAATAAATTTTTTTTTGGTGCTTTTATTTTCCCTTAAGTGATTTGATTTAAAATGTTTTCTTCTATTAAAGAAACAGCCTGCCTCTTTGTTCTGTTCTACCTCAGCACAAAAAACTGGCGCTAATCAGTATTCTATAAGGAGGTTTCTTGCAGCGGATTGCATAACTACCCTTGACAGGAATACTTTCATCATGCAGTTCCTAAATGGTTTACTTGCTTAAAATCTAAAATACCAAAGGGCATTTAGATTGAGTTAACAGGCAGCAGAATTCTGAATGTCTTAGACTATTTTGGACTGGTATAGACCCAGAGTTTCACTTTTTATAAACAGTATCGTTAAAGAAATGGCAGTGTTTAATAATAGTACTGCCAACGTGCTTTGCTGTTGCTTAGTGCATTTACTGTATTTTTCACTTGTGACTTGATTTGAATCATGGGAATTCTGTTCAAGAGGTTAGAAAACTGCCCTAGCCGGGTTAGCTCAGTGGATAGAGCGTTGGCCTGCAAACTGACCTTCAATTCTGGTCAAGGGCACATGCCCAGGTTGTGGGCTTGATCCCCAGTGGGGGGCATGCAGGAGGTAGCCAATCAATGATTCTCTCTCATCACTGATGTTTCTATCCCTCTCCCTTCCTCTCTGGAATGAATAAAAATATATTTTAAAAAAAGAAAAGAAAACTAAGGCTCTGAGAAGGTGTGACATGTCTGAGGGTCACACAACTTTCAATACGGAGGGGGTGAGTTGGATTTTCTATAGGAAAGACAGGTAGTT